CCCACTTCACTTACCTTCGGGCAGGAGGGCGGCCGCGAGGGCGCAGCACAACAGCAAGCGACTCCAGCGCATGTCGGCGCTCGTCGGGGTCCCTGCCGGCTCCATCACCTCCTCACCATGCCACTACTGGCACACTGCCGCACGCGTCGAACCTCCCTCACGATCAGGTGCTAAGTCACTCCCGAGCTCACGGCGCGTGCACGTGCGTGCGTGCGTGCGTGGGCGTGTGCGTGTGTCTCCGCGTCGCTGCGTGCGTCACCGGCACGTCTCTGCGGCCATCTGAGAGCAGAGCGCCATGCGGCCGGTGCTTCGGCGGCGGCCGCGCGCTGAGTCGGAGAGGTCCGGGGAGGAGGACGACGGAGAGTGGGGGTGGCGGCTCTCCCCCTACCTCCACCTTTGTCACTTTCATGACTGTCCTTTAGACCCCTGACCACAATAACTACTTAGAAGAACTTCGACGAGAAGCATTACGGGACGGGGAAGGAGTGACGAACTTGTGGAGGGAAGAAAAGCTTCCACCTAGTTGTACTCACTGTATCATGTTTAAGCTATTTCAGAGAAATGGGAAAGAAGAACAGCACGAATAACAACGTGGCCCGTGATTCGTCGTCCTGTCTCCCCCTCCACCTGAGCGACGAATCACGGGCCTCCTTGTTATTCGTGCTGTTCTTCTTTCCCATTTCTCTGAAATAGCTTATTACTCTGGAACATCTTGGCAAATTCATACTTCCGTTTGGTGATTTGGCATGATCAATTCTCACGACGTTTGTTTGGTAAAACCGTTGACTTTAAAGTAGAGGGTGATTTTCCCCGAGTTAAATAGGGTAGTTCACCCAGTTTAAACCGGATCCCATGATGCTTCCTGAGCAGTTACGCTCATTGGGTGACGCGGACAAAGTTCGTTGACTTGTCACAAGATCTGCAATTACTCTAGTAACGGGTCCGAGAACTTCATCCGTGTCAGCCTATGCGCGCCAGAAAAGAAACAGTCCAGGAAGCAATACTGTTCTTCTTTGGATCCGGTTTAAACTTGGTGAAATACCCTATTCCCACTTTAAATGTCTAAGGACAATTTTTAAACTAGCACCGGTGTTCATTACTAGCTCACACGCAATATTGTATCTAACAACTTACATTTAGTGACTAGCAAGTTACAAAACACTGTATCTGAACTCAGTTATGCACACAGAAGTCTGGTGCTGGTGACAAAAAGTGCCCTTGACATTTAGAGTGCCTATGGTAAAGGGAGGGGGGCCTTGACGAGTGTTTTGGGGCGCAAAAATGCAACTTACTGTGAGCGCTAGCGCGGGTGGGCGTCACCCTGCCACCTACACTGCTCAAAATCTAAATTCTTCGAAGCCAAAGATTTATCAGATGATTTGACCTTAAGGATAGCTTGAATGACTTCCGTTCCATTTCAACTCACATTGAAAATGTTCTTCGCGCAGCAGGTGTTCGGTTTGGAATGAAAATGTTATTTTTTTCTCAGGACACGCAGTTGATATCGACCGCGACCTACTATTATGAGATACGTGCCCGGCCCCCACGGCCCTAACGTGTTTTTCTTTGCGCAATTTGGAGACTTTGGGTCCGAGGCTGGTCTGAGCTGCCTAAGCTGCCATCATGTCGTCTGCTTTTCCGTCTCTAGGGGACGCTTTCAAAAAGCCGGAGGGAAAAAAGTCGCGTGTAGCGCGGAAACATTTATGCGAGGAGCAATAAAACTCAGAGGACGAGATCGGGCCGGGCGCGTTGACTCCCCTGTCGTCGCTTCCCGCCCCCCCCCCCTCTCGATTCAGCCCCCAACCTAATTCACCCCCTCCTCTCTCCGACTCCCCCTTCCTTAATGGCGGCACTGGATGACGTGAGTTGTGGCTCAGACGGAAGGGCCCATCCGAACAACTTGTTTTTGTAAAGAGTACATGATTCCGATCACGTTTTTTGAAGAATCTTAAAATAGGCTGGCCAATAGTTTCGGGCAGATTAAATGTGTATCATGGATCGCAGGATAAATATCACATGACAGTGAATTAATTTCCAGTGATTATGGTTTTCTTCGTCAACAAAACTAATTTTGCTCAATTTTATCTCTTTTAAATTTAGTATTATACCAGATGGTTGATTGGCCCCGCTTACTACTGTAGTTATGCTGCACCGCACGCAGAGTGCGGGCGGACTTGCCTATCGCCTCTGTCCATGGTGCCTAACTAGTCGAGCGAGCAGGCAACCCACCCGCACTTGAGCGTGCGGTACAGCATAACTTCACAAGCGAGTGGGGTTAATCAGCCTCTTGGTACTTGGTATGGTAGAAAATCTTAACTGATGTCAAACAGTATTGAACTTGGTATCACCGAAACGCCTAAAACCAATGATCTCTGGATGCAAAATAGCAAAAAATACACAGTAAAAACACCAAAAATTTTCCTAGAAAAGAGGACACGTTCCGTCGGTGGCAATACTCAGTCCTCAGTCCTCACCAAAGTCAATGACGGCCTTGTTGACGCCGGGATATACCACTACGGCGATACCCCACGGCCCCAGGGAACGCAGCGCGCCTCTCGACTGGTGGCGCCGCCCACGCCCACGCACGAGCTCGAAGGGCCCGAAGGGAGCGCCGTGGAGGTTAGGCAGCCCAACGCCCTCCGCTGTGCGCCGGCATTGGCACCAGCATTGCCCTCAGTGACACTACGAGACGCCGCCCTAAAATCTGCTTTTAGACTCAACGTGTTAACTGTTTCCTTGAATTTCAGGTCGACAGTTTCGTATCAACATCGCCCGCTCCGCCGTATGTGCAGCTCACTATACCGGGTGATTCAGAGAAGACGCAGGTCCGGGAGGGGGCGGGTTTGCCTACTGGCTCTGTTCGCAAGGCGCTATGGCCTCTGAGGTAGGCACACCCAACCGCTCCTTCGTCTTCTCTGAATCACCTAGTCAGTGGTACCAGGTGGCTGGGTTGGGTTGCGGTTGCCCTGCCCTCTTTCCGAAGTTGTATACTGTGAGCGTGGGGGTGGGTGTTGCCTACTGACCCTAACCGAGGCTAGGGACGGCAGGCAACACACCAGTCGCACCCGTGCGTTCTGCTCCGCCACAAGGGGGCGGCGGAGAGAATCAGCCACCTGCCCACCTGGCACAGACTGCTGCTCCGCGGCCGCAGAGAGCACCAGCACGGCGGGAGTGTGTTGTGCCAGCGCCTTATCTCGACTCCATTACCGCCCCCGTGGACCGCAGGCTGTGGTGCAACAAGAGTTGGAAATAGCCGGCCAGAGGCAGATGGCCCTTGCCTCCGCGCGGCCAGGACTGCGGCCAGGGCCCTGGGCCGTCTGGCTCACGGACACTTCTATCTCATTCATATCTATGAACAGGCTACTTCCTGCAGAGTAAACACGACTGGGCTCACTAAATTTTCGGATACGTCAAGTAAATTAGCCGAGTCAGATTACTGCGCCCCTCTCCCAGTCACTTCGGAGCGAGTCAGTCTCAGAAAAACCAACAATAGTTTGTGTATAATACATGTTTTTGATTTTTTTTGTACTTTCCTAATGTGCCAGCCTGCTGTCTGGCCTTTTAATATGGCTCTGATACGAAGCAGCGGCTGTAATTATTTCTGTCATCCGAATTAAAAGCGGCCCGCCGCTCCGCCAGCACGCCCCGCCCCGCCCCCTCTAAGCATCCCGGCCAACGGCCAATGTACTGGTCTGCCCTGCCCAAGCCATGTGGCTAACCAAGGGGCCTGGTCATTGGTCCACCGCGAAGAGCCGAGCCGCGGGGCCCAGACTACACACGCAAAAATACGACCCACTAAAATCAACTGCAACTGGTGCTCTAAATAAGGGGAATGTCAAGTCAACAAATTTTAACCTCGTGTGAAGATTTCACTCTTTAATTAGTAACAAACTAGAACAACATAAAGCACTCTTACTGAATCAGAAAAAATTACGTATGGCATCATATTTATCTAACGGTAAAAATATATCATTAACAAAGATAAAAAATGTTAGTCTTATACTTAATTTGTCAACTTGCATAACATGGATATGATTAATACTTCTGAAATTCGACGTCTCTAAAGGCTACCACACCACCTCCATGGCGCTCTGGTCGTAGAAGTCCTCCCGCTCTTTCTTGACGATACACGACTCCTGATGGAAAGCCTGGTGCTGGTTTGCCCGCTGGCCGTGCTGGTCGAGTAGGTTCTGGTCCAGGTGTTGCTCAAGGTGGTGGCCCAGGTGGTGACTGTGGTGGTCGTGGACCTGCTGCTGGCCGAGGTCGCCGCCATAGCCGATGACGGAGCCCGGGTGACAGTACGCGTCGCTCACGCCGCCGATGAAGTGCGGTTCTGCTTTGAGGGCCCCGACGTCCTGAAAAGCGAAGGCGGTGCCGGCGCCGGGGTCCTGGATGTCCGCCGGGGCAGCAAGTGCCTGCTCCTGCTGGAGAGGGTCCTCGACCGGGTCGGTCCCGGACGGTGCGGGCGGCGGCGGCGGCAGCGGGGCTGGCGGCGTGGGGGCCAGCGGGGCGGGCACCTCCCCGCGCTTGTTCTTGTAGCGCCGGTTCTGGAACCAGATCTTGACCTGCGTGGGGGTCAGCTTGATGGCGGCGGCGAGGTGCTCGCGCTCTGGCGCCGACAGGTAGCGCTGGTGCCGGAAGCGCTGCTCGAGCTCGTGCACCTGGGCCTGCGACGCACATAAGAGTGGAAGGTTAGATTCTAGTACGATTACAGGTGGTCCCTGCATGAGATGCTCAGTCACCGGCGACATGCCCGTCGCGGTAGCATCGCTTACCTGGGAGAAGAGCACCCGAGGCCTCCGCTTGCTGCGTGAGCGCTGCTGCGCGGAATGGAGGCATGCCGAATCCGCGGGCTTCCGCGCCGTCAAACGAACTGTAGCAAACAAATAAAATAATAATTAATAACAATGTTTCAGTTCTTTTTTTTTTCAATAGTGCGTTTTCTGAAAGGAAACAAAATTGACACGCCCGATACCCCCGGTGGACACACTTTGCTCTCTCCCTTTAGCATTACACAAGGTAGCCGATTAACCCCATGCACGTTTGTAATTACACCGTACTCCATGCAGGTTGCAGGTGAGCGGTCGGGTTGCCGATCCGGCACCGCTTTGGCAGCAGCCAAACGACAAACCCGCCCGCACGCCTGCCTAAATTCTTCTATTCCTCACGAGCGCAAAACGTAAATGATTTAAAGAGACAATGGATCCAAGAGCCGGCCTGATTATTACCTTTTTGAATGTCGGTTGACCGCGCTGTTTGGCTGAACTCGACCCCTTGCTGCGGCGAGTTGTCCGGCACACACCCGGGGCTCGGGGACAACTACAAGCACGAAGAAACACACACTGTTGTAGTGAACCGTACACAAGTGACAAGGGGAGCGCCAACACACCCACACCATGTCGTCACACACGACTGTCTGGTTTGCAGTGATATGAAGGCAGGGAACTGTACTCACCGCGCTCGTGCCGAGCACCATGTTGAGCGACGAGCTGGACGCAGTGGACGCCGGTGACGGCGAGCACACGACGGCCTGCGGCTGCTCGTACAGGTAGGGGTTGCAGCGCCCGAGCTGCGGCTGCGGGTGCTGCTCGTAGTGCGCCACCGTCAGGGTGCTCGAGTAGTACTCGTACTGCTGGTAGTCCTGCTGCATGTCCTCCGCCCAGCAGGCGCCGCCCTGCTCCTGCGGCTGCTGGTCGGCCAGGATGTCGCGCACGGTGAAGCGCGCCGAAGCAGCGTGCTGCGCGTGGTGGTAGAGGCCGCCGTGGTGGTGGTGCAGGTGGTGGTGATGGTGGTGGTAGGGGCTGTGGAGGCCGGGCGGTGGGCTGTCCGGCAGCACGTAGGCGGACTGCGGCCGGTGGCAGAACGAGGGCTGCTCCTGCGCCAGCATGGCGCCAAGGTGGCCGTCACTCGGCGGTGTGTCACTCACTGGTCACTTCCAATGCGCACTTGCGGCGGTCACTCACTACTGTTCACTTTCAAATCACTCGCGATGGGAGTCGCTCGCGGCGTCACTCCCTGCGGCCGCCCGTCGTGGGACTGATGGCTCAATCACAGAGCAACACCACAGCACTAGAAAAGGACCGCCGCGGTTGACACGTCGTCCGCTCGCAAATATGGATGTCGAATCACGATCCGCGTCACAACAAACACGTCACAGTTCCTTCACAAACACACACACGCTAACTGACGCCCTCCTCGGAGAGGGAAGTCCTCGGTCACAACGTCACGACGGCCTGGAGCTCCGAGCACGAATGGCAGGACCAGGACGACCCCCCGGCGGGCTGGGCGCGCCCGGCGCAGC